TGGTTAGGTTGGCCAAAGGTTTATGAATTTTGTTAATCTTTTCAAAAAACCAACTTTTTGTTTTGCCGATCTTCTGAATGATTCTTTTGTTTCCAATTTCATTTAATTCCACCCTAATTTTGGTTATTTCTTTTTTTCTGCTGGGTTTGGGGTTGCAATGTTCTTCCTTTTCCAGTTGCTTGAGATGATCCATTAAGTTGTTGGCTTCCTCTCTTTATGTTTTCCTGATGAAGACTTTCAATGCTATAAATTTCCCTCTTAGGACTGCCTTTGCAGTATCCCACAAGTTTTGATAATTTGTGTCTTTGCTATTATTTTGTTCCAAACATTTGGTGATTTCCTTCTTAATCTTGTCTTTAACCCAGCTATCATTCAGCCTAAGATTATATAGCTTCCATGAGTTTGTTTGAGTATGAAGATTCCCATTGCTGTTGAGTACAATTTTTATTCCATGGTGATCTGATAATGAATAATTTCTACACTTTTAAATTTGCTGAGGTTAGACTTGTGTCCTAGGATATGATCTATTTTGGAGGATGACCCCTGGGCTGATGAGAAGAATGTATATCCAGTTTTAGGTAAAGTGTTCTGTAGAAATCTGTAAAGTCCATTTGTTCTAGGGTCAGGTTTAAGTCTAATATTTCTTTGTTTAGTTTCTTCTTGGAGGATCTATCAGAAACTGTCAAAGGGGTGTTAAAATCTCCAACTATTATAATATAGGAAGATATGAAGTTGTTGATATCCATTAAGGTCTGCTTTATGAATTGAGAAGCATTCTGGTAGGGTGCATACATGTTAATTATCAAAATCTCTTCATGTGTTTCCCTTGACAAATATGTAGTGACCTTCCTTATCTTTCTTGGTTTTAAATCTTTAAAGCCAATTGTATCTGCTACTAAATTGTAACCCCTGATTTTTTCTGGTTTCCATTTGCCTATATTATACAAGTCCATCCCTTCACCCTGAGTCTATTTTTGTCCTTTAAGGTGAGGTGAAATTCTTGTATACAGCAGATATCTGGTCTGAGTTTATGTATCCAGTCAGCCATCCTGTGCCTCTTTAGAGGACAATTTAAACCATTCAAATTAATTGAGAGAATTGATAAGCCGGGTTGTGTTTTGGGTGTCATGATTTTCGGATATCCAGTGGATGTTTTTAATCCTTTCACTGCTGTGGAAGTTAGGTTTTGTTCAAAAATTTCTGGGTGAGTTTACTTTGGAGGTAGAGCATTCCACTGGTCATTGTGGAGGATGGATCTG